TAGAATGTTTAAATTTAGAATTATGCAGAAATCCCTTGTTTCGTGCAGGGAACAGATGCAGATGCCAAGGAATAACAATCTTACCTTCTCATCTCTGTCTGTAGGAAGAGCTGTTCTGGGAAATGCAGTCTAGGTAGTTTCTGCTTGCTTGTAATACATTTCCAAAGGTTTTCTGTCATAAACTCCAAGAAGTCTTCATTTTTGGTGTATGATAGACTGAATATGTGTGTTTTTCCAGTAACCAGCAAATGATGAAAAGACCAGTGTCTGCTGTAGGATACAAAAGGCCTCTGAGCCAGCATGCCAGGACATCCATGATGATTCGTCCAGAGGCTCGGTACAGGGTAAGCCCAGATGTGGTTGCAGCCTTCATACATTCACCTTCCTAATCAGAGAAATGTACATTTCAGAGGATTGTTAGCTCTTCTATAGAATGTACAGAGTGTCTTGCATGCATTTATAAAACCCTGCAGAATAAATTTCTGAGGGAAAAGAAACTATTTGTATGAAAGTGTATAGGCTTTAATTTCACTTGTACTTCCTCAGGCAGAGAATATTGTATTACTGGAACTTGACATGCCCAGCCGAACAACAAGAGACTATGAAGGTCCAGCCATTGCTCCCAAAGTTCAGGCTGCTCTAGAAGCAGCTTTGCAGGATGAAGATGAGATCCAGGTGGATGCTTCAACCTTTGAGAGCACTTCAAATAAAAAACCAAAATCCAGGTGAGTCAAATTTTTAGTAAGAAGACTAGCAGATAGGAGAGTTACAAATACAATTGCTCTCTGTCTACAGTTCTTATCAGTAAAGCTATGGCTAACTTGGCTGTAAAGCAGAGATAGAAAGAAAGGAACATAGGGCAGTAGAGAAAGTTTAAAAGAAAAAAAAAACAGCTTTGGAAGATTAATTTTGACAAGTAACAGGTGACATTGTTGGGGGCTTTTTGTTTATTTTTTCATTTTTACTTCTTCAGGCCTAAAACTGGAAGGAAATCAGGGGGATCCTCTTCAGCAGGCACCCATAGTTCTCAGCTCTACCCACAGTCCCGAGGGCTGGTTCCAAAGTAAAACCAGCAATTCCTCTCCAGGGCGTGAACAGCTTTTGCCTTCTGAGAGCAGAGACAAGTAAAAACCTGCAGAGAGACCTCCCAGCCAGACTCCAACCCCTTTCCCCTGGAAGTGGCCTCTTTGCTGTTTAACTGACTTGTGCCAGTCCAGGTACACTGAGCCACAGGAAGATACGTGTTTGCAATTCAGCATTTGGCCTCTGTAGGAAACAGATTTTAGTTAGGAAATCAGAAATGCATGAGGTACGTTACAGTGTATTAGAAGCAATGGGAAGCATGGGGATCACCTCACAGCGTCACCGTCTCTCCTCCTGCACTAGCCCTTTTGCTGCACTTGGCTTTTTTGTTGGGCAGTAAGAAGAGTTGAAAGTCATCTCAACAGAACCACCGCTCCAGAGCTTCATAGTGAGAATCAAATGAGGTTAAAAAGCAGAGGATCCACCCAAACTTGACTAGGTGCAGTTTTTCCTCTTCCTGCTTGAAAGACTGGCATCATCATTTGGGGTTAAGAAGTTGATCTGAACGGGCAGATTGGCAGCTGTCAGCATGTACTCACCACCAGATAGCTGTGCCTCCCTTTCAAACTGTAGGACAAAAAAGGGACTTCAAAGAATTTTCTTGCTTTCTAGACAGGAAGCAATAGAAATTGAAGTCCTTTACTTGTTTACAAGCATAAGTTTAGCTCCACTAAACTGACCTCCTACAGATTGCACCCCTACCAACAAGAACCACCACAAAGAATACATCTGCATTCCAGTGCCAGCTCCACATCTTGCTTCCTCTTTGTTGCTTCCATCTTTTTCCCTGGCATTTGAAACCAGTATCCACACTGAGTCTTTGAACGGTGGTGTGGTGCATGGCAATTTTCTCAGATCTCCCACTGGTCACAGGAAATGTAGCACTGGCATGGAGCTATCTTCTGAGCAGACTCATAGGGCTGACTCTGCTCTCCCCTGTAAGCTGGGTCGAGGGTAGAGCACCATGACAAGAAGCCGTCTGTGAGTGCACTGTTCTTGTAAGTATGGTCCCTTCCCTTGGTGTCTAAGGAGCTTCAACATACAGTACTCTTTGTGCCTCACCCATTCCATGTTAGAAGCTTTTCCCCTGCAGCTCCTGGACCAGGCAGGGCCCAGTGGGAGTGAAAGCACATATAGCCAAGTCTGGATAATGGAATCTGGTACTAAATCCAGGGGTTGTAGTTTGAAAACAAGGGAGGAAGAACTCCTGCTTTTGATGGTCTCTCTGCAAGCTGCCCTTTGACTTAAGCAGGCTACTGTAAAACTGCAGGCTCGTGTGGCAGGGTTGAGGGAGATGGAGCTGCTATGTTGAAAACAGTAGGGTGTCCCTGTCTAGTGTTGCACAGCTCATTCATAAGTTTTAGTTTGTTGTATATTGAGACTTGGGATGTTACATTTTTCTGGTTGCTGTTGGCTGTCATCCTATGAATGTTTTTACCTATTTCCTCTCCTTCACTGATGACTTCCTCCAGACTGACATGTGTGAGTGTCTGAGGACTTGCCTGGTTTTAGAAATGCTCTGATATATGGACTCTACCTTGTGTGCTCGTTACGTATCTGCTGAGTGACTTCACCCAGGCTGGAGAACTCCATTATATCTGACCCCCATGAGCAGAAGGAACTGAACACTCAGCACAGCTCACCTCTGCATCTTGCGGGCATGGTGCCTCGGTGAGCCAGCTGCCCGGGTGGGCATGGTTAAACTCTAAGTCAGCTGCTTTGATTCGTGGAGTGCTTTTCTGGATCACAAGATTAATATATATATACACGCACATATATATATATTTTAGTTTTGGTGGAGGAAAGATGAGTTTGCCTGTAACTGAGAGAGCAGTCATCTGACAAATTTCTTTCAACTAGAACGTGGAAACCTGGCATAATCTTCCTTTTTATAAAGCAGTGTTTATGTACAGAGAGCCTTTTAATTAGCTCTTGTTGCATAATATAATGTCACCTTCTCTTCCCTCTCCTCCGTCTTTCTCTCTAGCACATAATCTTCTGTACTTTGACATTTTAAAAGATGATTGTATGCTGTAAATGCTCAGAGAACTGAAATGAAACAAGGGGGTTTTACAACCTGAAAGAGCAACTTAATACATATACATGTATATGTACATTCCTATATGTACACATATGTTTAACGTGAATATGCACACACAGCCACATCTGTGTTTGCACACTCACACCCTTCCTCAGTCACCACAGTTCCATAGGGAATTCTGTGTTAAATTCAAATGCTGGAAACTCCCCTTGTGGCAGGACCAGGATGGTGGAAATTACAGTGCAAACCCAAACTGTTCTCGTTTCAATGTTGACAAGCTAGCTGGTTGATATGTCAGAAAGGCTCTGCTTTTAATTCTGTAGAAATTCATTAGCAAGGTGAAAGAAGTTCAGTAGGATGGAAAAAAAGAATAAAATTGCATATTTAGTCATTGTATTGAAATCAGAGCTGTGGTTAGAGGTTTGGTTAGTGTGCTACGGGCAATCTCAGACTGTTACAGAAGCTTTTAGATTCTCATTTCGATGGACTTACCCATGAGCAGGTACTTGGTGGCACTGATATTAAGGGAAATGCATTGTCTTAAGCTCTACAAAGCATACCGAGCGCTGGGTTGAAGTTTTTAATGAACATTCCTGCCAAGCTTGCGTGCCTCTGGGTGTTATCTGAACCATCTGGGCTTCCTGCAGGTTAACTGCCGAAGACAGGAAATCCAGCAGACTCCTGCAAGAGGCCCTGGGACATTGTGCACAGCCACGGCTTTTCTCATAGGGACGTTTTACATCCTTATCCTCGCTCTGATCTGTATAATGGGATCTTTACTTCCAAAACAGCGACGTGCAGCAGAAGTGGCCCTCTGGGTCTGGCAGCGAGCAGCGCTGAGGCGTAAGAGCTCAAACACTTTCTTAAAATCCTTACCACAGATCGAATGCCTTTTTAACAATAGAGGCATGCTGCTCCAATCTTCTCAGGCACATACCTTTGTGACAGCGTTTTAGCTGCATTACACAGATCAGAGCAGGCTTCTGTTCGCTGTAGATGCACTGAGGTTGGGAGACACCTGCAGCCCTGCAGTCCTTTCCCGTGTGACGTCCGGGCTTTAAACCGTTCCGTTCGTGCTGCGTTAAAGCACAGATTGGCGAACGGGACCTGCACGAAGCCCAGCGCCAGGCTGAGGTGGGACCCACGCGAGTGCTGCCATAACACGGCGCTGCCCGCCCTCCCCATCCCTTGGCTTTGACGCCGGGGGTCCCGCTGCCCCCCCCCCCCCGCGCCCATCCCCTCCCGGCGATAACTGCCCGTATTTATTTGTATCATCTCTCCTTTTTTTTTATTATTTTCGTCTAGGAATGTAAAATGACCCCAAAACACAGCGCGTAATAAACTCAATCAGATTTATCGCATCGCAACGCGCCACTTTTCATCCTTCTTTTGTCAGCCGCCTCCGGGCCGCTCCAACTCGCGTTCCACCCAAGCCGTCCTACCGCCCCGCGCTGCGGGCGGCCCCGGCGGAGCGCCGCCCCACGATGCCCCGCGGCGCGAGGCGCCCTCTGGGAGCTGTAGTCCTCCGGGGAGGGGCGGGGCCGCACCGCCTCAGCGCAGCCGCCTACAGCTCCCGGCGGCCCCCGCGCTTTGTTTTCCTTCAAACGGCGCCCGGCCCCTCCGCTCGCGGCTCGCCGTGTCCCACCGCGGCCGCCGTCGCCGAGCCCCGCCCCTTTCGCCCCGCTCCGAGCCCTTTGACCCCGTTGTTATGTCGGGCCCGAGCCGCCGCCGCCGCCGTCTCCTCCCGTAGCGCCCGGAGCCGCCCCCGCCGCGCGCCCCGCTCCGCCCCGCCCCGCGCGCTCCGCCGCCCGCGCGCGCCCGCCCC